TATACTTTTATTACCTCAGGGTTGCTGTGACCTGTACAGCTGCTGTTGTACTGAGCGTGCTGCCAATGGCACTAGAAAGCCCATTGGTGAGAAGCAGTGCTGTGCTCCAGTAAGAGTCAGCCCAAAGCCTTACGAAATTCAGTTGCTAGTCTGTGTCTTGAGCACTGGATTTTTATTTTTTTCCTGTTAAAGCTTAAGGGAGGGAGTTTTAAGCATGAACAAAGTGACAACCATAAATGAGTATCAAGGCAGGTGACTAATTACTAGCTCAGCTGCTGGCTGAAGTATTCCTTTGAGTCCTGTTAGAATCCACCCATGAACTCAAGTAATGAGCTTGACCTAGCAGAGACTCCTACCACTTATTACCGTGGCTTGGTTGGGGTTCTGCAGCAGTAACCTGGAATGCTGAACTCCTACAAGCAAGTTTTGCTTCCCATCCTTCTTCCATTGGGGTTCTGCGTCTGGCCAGTCTGCTCTCTGGATGCTGTGTCTCTGTGGGAGTGTGTCTGCCATCTGTGTGTGCTGGTGATGCCTACAACCTCTGTGATCCATGAGTTTAACCTGGCAAGGGCTATACTCACAGTGCTTCAGGGCTGTGCATGGACACTTTCTGTATTTCTAGTGTATGATGCAGCAGTTCAAGTGTGACTCCAGAGAAGTATTTATTCAAAGCACAATTGACTTGAACTTTCACAGATAAAGGACAGCTTCTGAACTGGCTCAAGGGTCATCGGTGTGCCTTCGATGCAGTCATGTGAGCAGAGGTAAAATGACTGTCACATCTCAGTCTTGCTGCCTGTTTTACTATCTCCACTTTAATCAGCCTCCTGCATTATAAAGCTGCTGGAAGTGACATGTGTTTCTGTTCATCTGGATTATTTTAAGTTTTCATCCGTGCCTGTTGCCATAGGAGTTTGTGTGTTCGTATGGAGTGGGAGCTGCTGGAGAAACTGTTGGGCAGCTAACAGAGTGTTAGCTGTGGAAAAATCTAGGAGATGGGAATGAAGGCTGTTTAAATTGCTGCTGCAGGAGCTGTGGGTAGTAAACTTGCTGGTTTCAGTTGTTACAGCAAATCATTATTTAAAGTCCTGTTTAGTATTTGCATGACACGAGCAATCCTGTTCACATCTGAAGGACCCGAGCACTGGATCTGCTTGAAGGTGCATCAGAATAAAGATGCATCTTGCAGCTTTCACGAGGACATTTGATCTGACCTAGAGCAGCTCTGTTAAAATGTGACAGGCCATCAGATAGGCCACATGTTTCAGTCAGAAGGCTGGTACTAATCACTTATGTCTTGCAAACCCATTTATTTTCTCTTCCTATCTTTTGTAAGTCAACTCACAAAACCAGAAGGGAGATGACAACACTCTTCCCTAAGGACAAGACATTGTTTCAAATGTAGCTGGTGCTTCCCTAGCCCCTCTTAAGCTGTTAACAAAGACAGGCTGCTGGAAAAACTCCATGTGGAAGCACCTATTGAGAACTAGAGTGTGGGGAAGAGGTTTCATCTCTTCATGGAGAGCGGTGTAGTGTACAAAGCTGTTCCACTTCATGTTGCCTTCAAACCCAAGCTTCCCACAGTTAGGAGTAAGGGAGAGGAAGAAGAGCTCTTGTAAGACACTGTAATAAACTCTCCTCTGTTCTCTGTGAGTTTGTTTGTAATCTGCATCTTCTGCCTACTTTTGCTGTACCTTTCCAGAAACCTTTGCAATACTTGATACAGTAGAAATTCCTTAGTGATTCCATGGATTTTCTTAACTAAATGGTGCTGTGCAGGAAAAAGATTTGAGCTCTGCCTTATTATCCTACACTTGTATGAAGTCTCCTGCCACTAGTTTTCTGAAATGGAGTATTTTCTTTGGAATATGTGGCTTTGCAAGCAGATGCTTTCTCTTCCTCCCCTGTACTCAAGGGGGCTGGATGGAGATACTAAGACAATAAAAGGAAGGTGACAGAATGCTGTGGTTCGCTGTTCTTGCTGTCCCTGCACCAACATCCTCCCATAAGGCTGGTTATGCAACTTCTGCAGTGTCTAAGGAGATTTAAGCCTTTTTGTAGCATTTTGTCTGTTTATTGTGTTTCAGTTTATTCAAAGAACAGTTTAAAACTCTGCATGACATGGATTACAACAACCAAAACAGTATTTAACACAGCTAACAGCAAAGCATGCAACACTAGCAGGCTGTGGCATAAATTGCACTCATACGCCAAGAGTTATCTGACTATTTTCAGCCTATTTGTTCCAAATCAGTTGTTTTCCTGCAACTTAGGGGTGGGGTTTGTTTTTTTTTTTGTACTTAATGTGCTGTTGAGACAATGGGCATCTCTTAAGAAAGGAATCAGAAACAGGGAGAACAGTATTCAGTAAGTCAACACTGAGAAACGTCAAGAAGGTATGAATCAGAACATCACATTTTGGAACTTGTACAACAAGAAAAGGCTTTTTAAAGGAAAAAACCTTGCAATAGTTTTAGTGTCCTTTCAAGCACTTAAAAAATCAGCTTCATTCACCCGAATTTCAGCTCTATATATCATTAAGGATGCATTGAGTGGTTCATGAATCTTGTATCTCTTCTGGTGTGATAGTCTGCTTCTAGCAGCTGTACTCTGCTGAAGCTAGTGGGATGTGGGATATCCAGATTTAGATCCAGAAAAGATCAATCCCATCTTCTGAGATACAGTCACAGCAGCACATACTTCTTAATTTTTATAGGCACTTTCCTTTGAGAGCCTTCCCCTTTGAGACAGAAGCAGCAAAGGGCCAGTCTCAAATACTTAAGTGGCAAATACTGTAGCATCAGTGGTTGAAGGCATTGCAGACAGAGAAAAAGAACTCCTCCCCTAGCAACAGGGGTTGATTCAGTATGGGGGCAGGATTACTTTGGCAAAAATAAGTATTTTTTTCAATGTAAAAGGCTCCATAAACCCAGCTGTTATTCCAGCAAGGTTTGGTCTTTTATGTAGTATTAATGCCATCACTTATACTTTGATAAGATTGAGTATCCTCTTGCAGTTTTCAGTCTAATCCATACAGAGAAGCCAACAGAGCAGAGGTGTGCTTGCAGGTCTGTAGTGCTCCTGTTGGTTTGGTTTTAGCCTATCTCACTCCATTCAGGATTCTTCTAAAAGATCAACTAAACCTATGTAGATGATGTGAAAGTGGCAGTTCATACAATCACTGGCTGTGCAGGTGAGTTTCAGTTAAGTTTTCCTTTTGTAAGGTTTAAGTATAAGATAGAAGCTTTGAAATAACATCCTTTTAGAGAAAAAAAAAAAAAAGCAGTTGTGTTGGTTTGTGTCTTTCAAGAAGGAAATTAGAATGATTTTTCTTACTTTAAACATGTTTAGTGCAAATTTCTTTATATATGTTCCCCAAGGCACTTTGATCATGTCCCTTGTTGTTCTATGATCAGGAAAGCAGTATGATCAAACACTTCCCTGTTAACAAAACAGGCCATCTGCCTGCTAATGCTTCTAGTTTAGGGTGATGTCCCAGCAGCCACATCTTGAAGGGTGTGCAATTGAAATGTAAAATTCCTCTTGCAGGAATAGCACTAGAATTCCTCGTTACCATATGGTTTTGCTAAATAAGAGTAGTCAGGAGCTTTGATTCTGGTAGATTCATTGGAAACAGTGCTTCCAAAAACTCCTATGCTGCAATTGTATGTTTCTACAGAATCTCAATATAGTCTCAAGTTTGTCAGCTGAACATGAAAGTGCCATCAGGAGTTCTGTCACAGAATAGAGCTGGCACAAATGTGAGCTGCAGCAAGGACAAACTCCAGAAGTGGCAGAAAAGGTGCTGTTCTGTTCCCATAGGAACAGTGGCTGCCACAGTGCACATGCATCTACAGTGACCACGTTCTCGGCTTTCTTCCTGCTTTCCAAGACTTTCCTGCCTTGTTAAAGCAGAGGGATGTGAAAGAAGGGGGATTCTGCAGCTGGTTTTCCTTCGGCTCTGATAGATTTGAATTCTGTGGCCAGAAATGGAAGTAGGTTGTGGAGCTCCTGATCAGAAACATTCTTATTTGTCCACAACTAAGATATAACTCATTATGCACAAATAGGTTGTTTCTGGAAGCAGGGTATCTGCTTTCAGAAGAAAAAGAGGCCATCTCATGAGAGGCCGTCTCTTATCTCTGCAGATATTAAGGAACATAAAGCCAAAGCTAGCAAAACATGTGAGGGAGTCTTCTAGAAGCTTTGTGGGGATAAAGCTTTACACTGAGCCTGAAGATCCATGGCCAGGACTACGAAGCAAGCTTAAAAGACAGCCCAGAACAACAACAACAACGAAACCCCCACCTTAGTTTGTAGCAAATGATATTCTGTTGTAAATAGGATCAGTGCAACAGAAAGGACATCCCAGCATCCTGAAACTGAGGGGAAGGGAATATTCCCAAGCCTGTAAAGCACGTAATGGTTGGAGTGCCTAGGATGAGTAGCGCAGTGCACTCTCATGAGACTGGACCTGCTCTGACTTTAAGAGCTTCTTTCTCCCCTTGCCAAAGTTCAATGGTGGAAGTTGTGCCAGAGGAGCACAAAAATCTTCAGTCAAGTCTGAAAGATGCTGCACTCTTCAGGAGACTAAACCAGCAAAAAGACTTTATCCTGCAGTAGTTCCATCGTATAATAAACATTCCCTGCTTTTCTTGGAGAACTACCATCCTCACCAAATGGAGCTGGATACTGGTAAGGACTGTGCTTTCTGTTTCCCTTTACAGTAAGTTCCCTAAAAATCTTATTTAAGTCCTCTTTGAGGACAGGAAGGTGCACTTTGCATTGATGGGAGAGGACCAGTCAGTTCAACTTAAGACAATGTTGCCTCCCCACAGAGTTAATATCTGTGGATCACTATTCTGTAACTCATGCTGAAAACAAATGGTAGATGCCGTCGTAGGTTCCAGTGCAAACTGTCCCCTCAATCAGGAACTGGGAAATGCAGTGCGTGAGGGATAGCCCCTTAAAAGCTGGGGGCTTTGCATCATGTTTGCCTCTTACAGTTTGGATTTGGGAGTGGACTGGATCAGGACCCTCATGTCTAGCAGTGCTTTCTCAAGGTAATGTGCCATGCGGGCTGCATTTGTGTCAGCACAGCTGTTGAATGCTGAAATGGCAAAGTTGATATGTTCATCCATAGGGTTGTAACAGATTCCATAGCCATCTGGAACCACGGGGCCAAAACACATCACACAGTCTGTCTTTGCTGGGACCTGTGGAGACAAAGGGATTAAAAACTAGTCAGAGAGAACTGTAGCCATCCAATGTTACAGCTCTGTCAGCAGCAGAAACTGCCACTTCTGGTGGTCTTGGCTTTGGCTATCCTCTGCTTTTTGCTGGGTTCAGGCTTAAAAATTGCTGCCCCTAAATGAAGGTTAGTTTCTAACAGAAGGAAATGAAGGAGAAATGTGGAGAAGAAAGGCAGTGAAAATAAAGAGAGCGTTTTTGTCTTTGCTTTAGTTGAGTCTTACCTGGCTGGTTGAGAGGTTGAAGTGCATTGCAAGAGCATATGCTGTGTCCATGAACAGCTCAGGTATGCTCACTAGGTCCTCGATAGCTTGAAGCTTCAAGCCTAAGAGGTGGCGGTCTATTGCGTTGCCCCTTATTGCCTGGAAGGAAAGAATACTACATGAAAGCCTGTTCAGCAGCAAGTGAGCAAAACTATCCATTTCTCTGGGTTGAAGAGAAGAACGCTTCTAAAAGTCTAAGAACTAAGCTTACAGTTACAGTTCCTGGAAGCTTATGGGCTCCCTTATGCAACTTTGGCATTATCAGCAACAGTGACAGTGAGAACTGAAGCTATGTTCCTATTTGATTCTCTCCTTCAGGTAAGACAAGAGACATTTGAACCACGAGTTAGAGAGGATTCAGTCCATGGCCTAGAGCACTGTCAGACTGAACTTAGACCTGTGAACAGCACTGAGAGCCACACTGCAGTGTCAGCAGAGAAAGCTCTTGAGGTCTCCTCTTTCACCAGAACCATCATTTGCTAGGTAAAACCCCAAGTCTTGGTGCAGAGACTCACCATATCAGTGTACTCCCTGTGGGCCTGGACAGCTCTCCTCAGCAAGTTGGCTTTCTCCTGGTCCTGAGAACACACAGACCTGTCTGTAAGTTTTGCTGCCAAATGGAAAACCTCATTTTGGTTGTTCCTCTCTGATGGAGGCATTTCTTGTGTGAATATATTAGATTAATTTTTCGATTTACTAGATGTAATTTTTAATTCATTTGGTCTGCATTGCTTCATTCTGAATGGAGTTTTCTACCTGTCAGTAGCAGAACTTGGTCTAAGTAGCTGAACAGACTTTTAGATGGGATTAGAAACGTCCCCACGTTGTCTCCCAGGCTTTCAATACATGTGAAATACATGCCAAAGGAAACCCAATACTATGTTTTAGGTCAGCTTCATACGGGGTGCAGTTCTGTTTAGCTGAAACAGCTGACAGAGGGTGAGCCAAATCAGCAGCTTTGCTCTTTTGCTGGAGTGGAGTCCTCTGCCTCCAGTTGCTGAGCCTCACCGGTTTGTCAGGGCTGTCCATGCACTGCACAAACTTCAGGGAGGCCACGGAAGCAGAGCGGATGGTGTCTGTGCGGCCCAGGCGGAACATCCGCAGCGATGCGCTCTCGTAGGTGGCACAGGCACAGCCGTACATCCTGCAAGGTGGAGAAGGAAGTCACAGGAGTCAGTTTGTCCTGGGAGAAATGGCCATGGGAGGAAAGCAGAGGAACTAGGGGGAAGGAGAAGACTGTATGTGAGTGAGTCCCATTGACAGCTGACCTCTCGTGCTTCCTTGCTAGGACTGCACAGGCACAGAGGGGTAAATCTCACCTATTGCTTGGCAGCTGCCACAAGGGATCATCTGTTCAGTCCCTGTGCATGGGGAAAACTTGGGACTTGGGAAGCAGGCCGTAGCAGCCTGTGAGAGACTTGTCTGTGCTGCCTTTATCAAGCTTACTCGTTTGAGTCTGATGGTGCAGAGGTGGTGAAGATACCTATTCGTCTTACCTGTAATATGCTAGCTGCAAGGCCAACTGGATAAAAGCATCAGGACTTATCTTCTCTGACTTGGGGAAGTCTTTCCCAAATTGATGAAAGACCATGACTTTGATATCCAGGTCTTCAACCAATCTGCAAGGAAAGAAGGAGGGGGTGTTCCTTTGCCTGTTGCTTGTTCTTGTAACAAAGACATGCATTTGCTTTCGCAAGGCTCAGAGAGAACAGGCTAACCTCTCCCCTGCTTTGCACTCACATGTTGAGGTCCTGCTTTGCCTTCTCTATGTCATTCTTGATTTCTGGGGTGATGTTAAACCGCAGCTTTTTGGGCATTGGCAGAGGAGTTGTGGGTGATTTTACCAGCTCAGGTTTCTTCCTGCAGAGAGAAATGAATATGTTGAACCAGACCTTTAACCTGAGGCTCCACTAAGCGCACCAGAACCTGGGTAGAATTGCACAGATCTCTGCTAGCACCTTGTGATGCTAGTCACAGGCTGAAAAATTCTTCATGGTGCCATTACAGTGGTTTCTTGAAGGGTTTGAATGAAAATTCTGTGCCTTCTGCCCGAAAGAAACACCTCTCCCAGGTGAAAGTCCTGTTCACTCTGCAATTCCCTGAGAGTGGAAGCAGCAGCAAAACTTACCAGAGCAGCTCGGCCACTTGTTTCTCATCACAAATGCAAGAACTGCAATACCTAATGAGCAACCATTACCCTTCCTCCAGAACAAGTTCCTAGGGGTGAGCTGTGGAGAGGCATGTTCTTGGGGAGTAGGTGGTTTAAAACCATCTCCAACATTAAGGTAAAGTAGAGGAGGCAGGACTCACGTGTATTCCACAATGTGATCCAGGAGAGCAACTACAGGGGGGCCTTCTGCAGGAGCATGCTCATAGACAACACCACAGGAGCCATCTTCAGCAATGATAAACTATGAGAGAGGCATGAGAGATCAGTGTTGAGGACAGGCAGCCAGTGTGTGAAGCAGGAGCTATCCAGAGAGATCTTAGCATCTCATTGTTCTGTATTGGAATGGACAGTGATCCTATCCTTGCACAACGGAAAGGTAACACAAAGGTCTCATTTAGCAGACCAGCACTGGAAGCCTTTCAGCAGGTCTAGAAGGTGTGACAGCACTGGGAGTCTGGCAGAGTTAACTGGGTAGGAGTGTGCCTGGCAGGTACATTGGTGTGCTCAGTGTCCTGGCAAGCCAGAGTGGACCAATGGTTTTGGTTTACTTAGATGCACACATAATAATAGTATCACCGTGTGCTGACTTACTCTTACTTTTCAATTAGCTGGAACATCTAAGCTTTATCCCATCAATGAAGACCTCCAAACAGGAACAAAATAGCTGAAAACATAAAGAGTTCAACAGCTAGGAGAAGACTCTTTAAAAGTACCACTGCTACTATCCACAAGCCAGGATACACCAACTAATGAAGGGTAAGCTTGAACAGCAGCTGCTGTTGAAGGCTCTTGACAAGACTGAGTGGAGAAGAGATCAGAGGGATGCTGTGGGATGGCAGCTTGTGTTTGAAATAACAAAACAAAATGCCATTGGGCAGCCTCTGGCAGAAACAGGAGAAGTGACAAGCCTTGAAGAGCTACAAGGAACAGCCCTCCCTATGTTGGGGCTGCCTCCAAGCAGACGAGGCATTGTTCACCGCAGGCAGAACATTGATTTACAAGGAACACAAAGAGCTGCTACACTGAGTAAGCGTGGGCAGAGGCAGCAAGAGAAACAAAAGTTCCTGAGGCAGGAGTGAGTGCTTGTGGTGACTGCAAGGGAAACCGTAGGATCTCGTGCCGTCAGCCACCACACCGTGTCTCCCCGATGAGATACGCTCTTGATATCAGGAGAACTTCCCTGCAAAAGGTTTCTGGGATTTCTTGGACTTTTGTAGCCTCAGGAAGAAGCAGCTCCTCCAAACCATGTCATCAGCATCTTTAGAGCATCAGCACTTACTTGGATGGTTTTGTCGAACCATCGGTTGCCGCTGTTGAAGCGACTGCCTCCTCCGTGCAGCATCTGAGCGGCCACCGAGCTCTTGTAGATGTCCTCAGACACCCGGGGCATGGGTGCATCCAGGCAGATGGTGCAAATGCTCTTCTCGATCGCACGCACGGATTCCTTGTTGGTCTTATCTGGGAGAGAAATGAACAGCACGTAAGGAAAAGGAGTGGGGAAAACACGTGTTTTAACTGGAGGGAGGTTGAAATTTGAAAGGGCAGGTTCGAAGGACCCAGTGTTGGATTCCAGCTGTACCTCAGTGCAATACTCGTTGTCTGGGGGTGTGTAGTTATTAATATTATTATTAATTAATATTACTATTAATACTATAGCCAGCTGGGTTGTTACAGATGCGAGCGTGCTGCATTCACCCTCCTATTTTTACATTTCTTACATCCCATCCATTTGCAAGGTGACAAACTCTGGGATTTCAGGTCTATGTCAGACTTTACCTGTGTACCTTCCAAACCAAAAATACCCATACTTTGCAATGAAATCACGTTGCTGCTTTGAGGTGAAAAGCTCATGTTATCTGTCCAGGACAAGTCTCCAAAGGAAACAACGGAGCAGAGCACAGTGGTGAGGTTGGTAGTTCAAGCACTTGCATGTTAGGGGCTCTACAGACCTTTCAGAAGGTTATTGTAGGCTTTTGCCCAGCTGTTTCGGTGGTTGGTGGTGAGGATCCCAACAGGTTCTTTGTTTGTTTGGAGGGAGGTGTTCCATATCTTCTCCAGCTGAACGAAGATCTGGTCAGTGGTAAGGGGAGTTCCATCACTGTTGTAAACATCCAGCTCAAAGAACTGAAGGTAAGAAGAGCGGACAAGGACTGAGACAGAACATGAGAGAGAATCTTAATTGTCCAGCCCCTTTGAGAAGGTAAGACCTGACCTAAGAACTCTGCTTGTAAGCAAACCTTTGAAGGATGCTCAGAATTGAGACACCCAAGTCCAACTTCCCTTACAGGCCCTAAATACAGTCCAGGTTTTAAGAGGCTCAGAAGCCATGGTAACGAGGGCTGAACCACATGAGCAATTTCTGTTTCTGAGACTCAGCTGTGGTGGTAGGATTTGTTAGCCAATTTCCACTTCCCATTTCCAATTCCAGACATGATCTCTAAGGTTTGAGAGATGGGAATTGCAGGGACAAAAGCCAGGAGGAGAGTGGTTTTCTGCCTTGTAGTCCATTGCTCACGCATGGCAGTCCTAGCTGTTGGCCAGCTAAGGCCAAAGGGGATAAAGGGATCAGTAATGAATCCCTGGTGAGGCAAACCCTGTTGTTCCCTTTCCCCTGGACCACCCCTAGCAGAGAGGGACACCCTCCTCTAAACACACCTCAAGAGCCCACAGCTGCCATACCTGGAAGTTGTGAACCACTGTGATATGTCTGGACTGGCTCTTGCCCTTGGCATAGTTGACGATGCTGTCCCGCTTGGGCCCGGGAATGCGGCAGGATGAGAGGATATGGTAGTACTGGTTCATGCAGAGGGGCTTGCCACCCATGTAGTCCACTGGAAGGGTCTCACTGGAGACACAGCAAGGTAAGGAGGAAGGGGGAGGGAAAAGAGATCAGTCAGAAGGCTTGGACTCCCCACACGAGAGAACAGGCTCAGCCATGCAGCTGCTGTCACTCACTCCAGCAAGACCTAAATGTGTTGGTGCTGGTGGTTTAAAAAGGGGCTGTCCTTTCCCATTCCTCCCAGCTTCCTTACTAGGGGCTACAGAAGATGCCTGTTTGCTGGCCTTTCATTTGGGAAGGGGAAAACCACTATCCTCTCTGTAACACCAGAGTAATAGATCTCTGGACCTACTACACAGCTTAGCATACACCAGAAAAGAACCCAGGGCAGGATATACTGGGAAATGTGTTTGTTTTTGTGCAATGGTAGAAAGAGGTTTTTGGCTGTAATTTTGTGAGGTGGATGTCTTAGTGTGACTCAGGAACTAGACTGGGACTCGGTGGATCACATGGGCAGTCATATTCCAACTACCCTAGTCAGTGCTGGCCCCTAAGCCTTGCCTGAATTTGGATGTCAAGGTGTGATGTTCATAACGTACTTTTGGAACACGGCGTATTTAGCAGAGTTGGTGCTCAGAAAGAAAAAGGGTCAGGGGGACTAAGTTTCTCTAGAGCTCATCTCATCTAACTGGGAGATGAGAAACAGCAAACCCAAACCAAGAGGAACAGACTTGTTCTGAGGGCAAACAGAAGCATGTAGCTGTGCAGTACTGTCAGTGAGGCTCACTCCCTCTAAGCATGTACATGTGCCAATGGAAGTATTAAGGTAAACGGAGAAGGTGAAGAAAGCAAAGTTAAGTTTGCTTTTTTCCAGTTGTGGTGATGTTGGTTGCAATATCCCATTTCAAATACGTGCTGTCTTCTCTTGCCTTCCTATCGGGAAGGGAGATTTATGGGCTAGGTTCAGCCTCTGACAGGAGCACATGAGAAGCCAGGAGGGTCACTAACTTACTTGTCAATCATGGACTTGAAATCCAAGATGCCCTCAATCAGCTTGGCAGCAAACCTGGAAAAATACCAAACGTGACAAGTTGAGATCAGACAGAACATCCGGGGCTGAGGAAGGAGCTGGGGAGGGCTGCAGAGCTGCTCTCTGCTCCTTACAAAGCTCAGCCTTTCTGCCAAGCCCCTGCTGTGTCCATCTCTGGTTAGTTGATGCAGCCAGTCTGAGACTGCTGAACAGTCCTACCATGTGCAACTTCCTTTAATGCACCTTGCTGTATAACCAAGGAACTCTGGACAGTTTTCAAGAACTCAGGGTTCAGTCCACGTGCATAAATGACCCTTTAACACCAGTGGTTTTTTACTGATGTGTTGTGATTTTATCAGATCCTAGTTCTGAGCCTTAGTATTAAAATAGCACCAAGAAAAGGGGATTTCTGCCTTTCCCTGGCCAGGGGCCACCTCTGTTTGAAACCAAGGCACAGCTGTATCTCCCTGCATCCCAAACTCACCACTGCTGACTTAGTTCCTACCTGGTAAATGTTCTGGTGCTAATGCACCTCTTAAGAGTGCTCCTCTGGCACTATGGGGTCTGAAACAAATGCAGGCGTGCTGCATGCTGACACTGAGGAGTTGTGCTTACCAGGATCCACATAAATACAGCAGGGAGGGAGGCTCGCACAGCCCACATCACACTGACAGGTTGGCCTACTCTGACCCAAGAGCTCTCACCCACACATGGGAGGCAGGAGGCCACTGTGACAAGAGCTTGCAGTCAGATGAGCTTCAGAGGCTTTAAAGTGGTGCAAGCATTTGGCATTTGCAAGCAGTGTCATGTAGGTTTGCTCAGCCTACTCATCCCTAGTAAAGATCAACGGATGTAACTCCAAGAATCTGAGGGCTGTTACACAAACAACTCATCCTGCAAAATAGTTTTCAGATTTCCCAGCTTTACTGCAAATCCTGAGGCAGTAAAAACAGCTGGAAAGCATCAGTGAGAGAGCCTGTGCTCCTTCCAGAGAGCAAACAGCCTGGGAGCAGAGTTAGGGCTTGAGGGGCACACGGGGCAGAGGTTAGCTGGCTTGGTGTTAGCCAGCATCGTGGCCAGATTAAGGAATGGAGAACTCTGCTTTCTACACTTGTCTTCTGGTTTCTGAAGCTTTAGTGTCAAGCTGTCAAACTTTTTTCTGCAGCTGCAAACCATACAAACATGCACATAGATTGTATTTTACGTAGGAGCCCAGATTCTTCTGCAGCTGCTCAGCCCCACTGGTTGGGGCACTGCTATTGCTCCAGATCTTCTCTTCTATTTGGATAACTTAAGAGCGGATAATATGAGAAAGAGCTTTCAAAGATGTTTGTCTGGTTCTGCGCTGGCCCTGTCAGCTCACCCTCTGCACCTCTGCTCAGGTGTAGCCAAGGGAGCAGAAGGGAGGATTTGTTCTCAGCCTCCCTGCTCCCCTTTTGATCTGCCAGAGCAGTGATGACTGGTAACTGTGGCAAAGGGGAGGCTGTATAAAGGTCAGTGCTACAGTTTTGCAGGTGGATTTAACGCTTGTCATGATGGTTAAAAATTAAAGGGAGAATACAGGGAAGAGAGGACATGGCAGGGTTTGACTGCAAGGGAAAGCTCCGAGTGGAGAGGCTGGATTTGTGTTTTGGGAAACAGTGGTGTTTCCCAAACCACAAATCACAAGTGAAATAGCACAACAGGGGAGAGTCCTCTGCAGCAACAGGCTGAATGACAGTCTGTTCCATCCCTATCAACTAGCAAACTCCAGCAGCATTTCTAGTTGGTGTCCACACAATCTTAGTGTCTCTTAGTATTCAGTGTGTAAGAGATCCTGACAATGCCTCCAGGCAGTGAGTTGTCCATCTTGCAATGGATTTCTGTGCTAGAGCAAAGACTGAAACATAGGGGTTTAGACCCTCTTTAGTACCTGAACTACTGGGCTTTGTTTTTGCCCCTTGACAAAATACTTAGTCTGGTGCAACCAGGAGTTTCCTTACAGCCTGGCAGCTTTCATTATCTGTACAGCCCTCTTGCACAGCACAGACCGCTATCAATCCTGGGGAAACATGATAATTACTCTTTTTCCCAATTAGCCTAAATACCCTCCTCCCTGTCCAGCAGAGAGAGCTCATCCCATCTGAAACTTAGGGGAAAGTAGAAAAGGACTTTACCTGAGCTGACCTTGTCGATCCAGAAAATCTTGCTTGGGTAAAACCAAGCCTGGGCTGGAGTGGACCACAACGGGCAGGCGGTACTCCAGGTAAGCTGTCTTCAGCCACCAGTCTGAGAGCTGGGATGGAGAAAGGAAACATGCAGGCATGGCATCTGCTGCTGTCTGACCCAGGATGGGCTGAATGGTCTCAGCATCCTGCCCCCACTTTGCAAACACACTGTTTGGGTTCTATGCTTTGCACGTGGAAGGGTAGAGAGGGGTTTGAACAAGGAGGTGCAGGGCTTGAGCAGAGGGTTTACTTCAACGTCTTGGGGCAGCTGCGTGGTGCCAACAGGGTAGAGGCTTCAGAAGCCACAGACAGGGTCAGTGACTCCCTGTTGTGCCATAAATCTCTCTGCTCACCCAAGTGCTAGTGAGGAGCTTGCACAGGTCAGCAGCAGAAGGTGATGCCATAAAACCAGAGGCACCAGTGGATGTGGCCAAGACATTGGAGAGGTGTGGGTCGCACCTCCACCCTCCCCAACCATAGCCTGGGGCGAGGGGCCCGACCTACCCAGTTCTCTGTTTTCTTGGCTCTTCTCTCCAGGCCTTTCTGCAGCCTCTCCCCAACACCTCCCGGTTTGCAGAACTCGGCCACCAGCTCCTGCGTGTGGTTCAGCTCCTCCTCGCTGACGATGGGCTGCAGAGCCAGCAGGTACCGCTCCAGCGTCTGCTGCAGCGGCGGCACGGGGAGATGGGGCAGCGCTTCCTGATGGACGTGGAATCTGCCTGGGATCTTCCTTAAAGCTGTTGGCTTCAGCAGGCCGCAAGGCCTGGCCTGCAGAGCACAGAGCAAACGTCGAGACAAAACTTCCCCCTGATGTGGTAGCAAGTAACCTGGATCTGGGAGTCTCCAGTGCAACCTTTCTGAGGCACATGGATGTCTCAGCACAAGAGCGGAGCAAAGTGCAAAAGCAAGGCACAGGCCTACTGACTTTGTGCTACAGATGGTTGTAGGACATCCATAAAAGCTGCAAAAGGGAAACTTGATCTCCTGAGATACTGATTCTCAGCTTGTCAGAGGAAATGCTGCCAGAATAATGATAGTTCTCCCACTCTCTGGGCACCCTTCCAGCTGTGAGCCTCCATGCATTTGACAAGTCAAACCCTTCCATCCCATGGTAATTGGGAAGAAAAGAAATCGTGAAAGAAATACTCGTTTTACTGTCAGAAATGGTTCCGTTTCTTCTTACAACAGCCTAAGGCTGGAAAGTTAAGCAGAACCCTTGTGCCAAATAGAACTAGCCAGTGGGCTTTGAAGAGGCAGAATGTAGATAACTTTGGAGCAACATTAAAATGCCTCTTCTGGGACTGGCCAGGGATCCTACACCCCAGTGACGGTCAGGCTGTGATGTGCAGGCCTTGGGTCAGTGTTTCTTTATGCTGGTGAAGCTCTCAGTTACTGGAGGACCCAGCTTTATTTAGAGAACCACTACACAGTTGTACCAGTGCGGGACTGGCCAAATTAAGGAGCCTTTGGAGAAGGAACAAGGGGGAGTTGTTCGGGAAACTGGCTCCTGGAGTCTGATGGGGTCCTGTGGGAGCAAAAGCTTTAGGAAGCACCATACCATTGATCTGGGTGGAGAAATGGAATGGAGCAAACCCAACTGCTAACCAGGAAATGAGCTTGCCAGTTTTCCCTGAAAAGAATACCAATGTGTGAAGATCATCTTCAGCATGAAAGTGTTTAAATTGTACTTTAAAGGTTTTCAGTTCCTTCTGCTCCTCCCCCTCTATGTGATCTACTGAATTGGGCACTCTCCAGCAGGACTCTGGACTTTGTCCAGTCAGTGTACTGCAGTGCAATGGAGGATGCAAAGCCTCCTTTGATTTCCAAGGCAATGAGAAGACAGCTGTCCCCCCACCTCCTCCCAGCACAGAGAAGAAAAGGAGTTAAATCTGCAAGGTGACAAAGCCTCAGTGTGGTGCTGAGACCCCAGAACTATAAGATCGAGGTCTGGAGAAGGTATGTTAAGAACAAGAGGAGGGGGAATTGCTGAAGCATGAAAGTAGAGCTGGGCTGGAAAGAAATAAAGGGTGTTAATGATGGCAGTGTGGGCATACCATACCTTCTTTGCTTCCTGCTGCTTCCTGTCCATGGCTGGGAGGACAGAAAAGACTGTAAACCTCTCTCTCTGCCTGTCTCCGTTTCCTCTTCCACCTGACAATGTGCTGCCCGAGCAGGGCGTCACCTCATTAGTAAACTGCCACATGAGCACTCTGATCAGAGGACTCAAGGCTAGGCCCAGGAGAGGTCAGGGGTAATCAGACCATGAGTGTGTGTCAGCTGCCACCAAGGTGCCTTTCTGGGGAGCCCTCCCATGGCCATGAGCTCCGCAGTGCCCCATCGGTGCTTCCGTCGGGATGAGCTGTGGCGATGGGCAATTCAGTGCCTCTGCTCTGGCAAAGGGTGTCAGAGGAGGGCAGCTCTCCAGCAGGAACCAGACATTAGCCACCATCTCTGTAGGTGATGTAGGATTAGTTGGAGATGGGAACCCATTCAGTCTGGGGCAAAAGGCAGTATCGTAACTACCCGCATGCCTCGTGCAGGGTCATTATTGCAAGATGAGGCTGTGGGAAGTTCTGGGTTGCCAAACTTTAAAGTTAAAAAGGTATGTCCATAGCAGGGCTCACACCAGAGCTGTGCAGTCATGAGGAATATCACCCCCTCCTTTGTGTCTGTCTAATCAACTGAGGGGCAGACAAGCTCAGTCTTCTACATACCTAAGATCAAGTATGATGATTCCAAAGAATTTTTGGATTTTTACTATTACCAAAGGGAAAATATAAACCAAATTAATTGTTAAAACGTGGAGCACGTTTTATCTTTCCTCTTTATGTCCTCTGATGTGAAACTCAAGTGTTGGGTGGGAAGAGGAACGGGGATCGCAGCTGGCAGCAGAGTCCACCTCTCCCCACAAGTGACAGGGGAACCAGGACAGCAGAGCGCGGGGTGTGCCGGCAGGGCCAGCTCGGGGGCTGGCATCGCTCCCCAGCCACGTTCCAACGCGCCGGCTGACCTTTTCCAGAGGCTGCGAAGCTGGTGGGAAGTGCACCTACAGCCTGGGGCTGAGGGGCAGTGTGCGATTCCCAGCATGGCTACAACATCTAGTGTCAGATGACAGAGGCTCGTCTCTTCTCTTTAAATTAAGAAGCTAAACGACGCTC